CATCTAGATTCTAGATGCATAATAATACTCACACTCTCGGATGAGCGAACACTGCGTTGCCTGCTAGGTGATGATTCTCTTGGGTAATGTGAGGCATGCGCTGGTTGTGTGCCTTGCTTCAGGTGTTCATCAACTCAATAAGCTCATAAAGTGGTGGTAGCAGGCTGCTAGGGAAGGCTGCTCTTATTATCACCTTCCCTAGCAGATCTGCACAGGCCTTTGTTAGGGAAAAAAAAAAAAAAAAAAAGGAGGCAACATGACACTGATCCATTTATGTTCAGTTTCCCTCGAAGTCATCCATCTAGGCAAGCTCAGCGCACTGTGTTCAGCTTGGCAGAGGTACAAAGCGGCGATTCACGATAATTGCTAGGTTCATAAAATGTTGTACCTGTTTTTTAGGCACTCCCAACCGATGCACTTTTTTTTCTTAAAGACTTCATAAGTTTAAGCAGGGGTGGTACACTTGAGGCACTTTCGGTGTCTGCTCTTACCAGCACCACTAGCACTGGAAGGGAGTTAAAAAAAAAAAAAAAAAAACTTCAGGCACTTTCCCAACCAATTCATGGTAATTGCAAAGATGAAAGGAACACGACGACACTGTCTGTTTATTTTCTAAAATTTCCTGGGGCGCTTACCTTCTTCCGCCGAATACAACGTACGTACGGTCATATAGCTGTATTGAATATTCAGACTGAAAGATACCCCAAATTCAGCTATAATGACCGTACGTACGTTGTATTCGGGGGAAGACTGTAGTAGGGGGGTATGAGCAGCCTCTCTGCTATCACAACCCGATTGTGGATGGCTTCGATTTATTCATGGGTAGCAACACCTGCTGGAAAGCAGGTCCAGTGTCCCAGACAATTTTTTATTATTATTTTTTTAGCACAGAAAATGTCCCATTAGCACAGAAAATGTCCCATTAATACATTTTAAAACTCAGAGTGCAATGTTTATTGTTTCCTAGGGCTGTGACCATTTCTGTCGCATCCCATTCTGATATTGGAACTTAAACCACCAGCACTTCCTAATGTCATGCCCGTATACAAGCCACAATTTGAGGAAAGGTACGGGCCGCTACAGGAGCGCCCAAATTCATCCAACTAGAAACGTTTCTATACAAGCCACAATTTGAGGAAAGGTACGGGCCACTACAGGAGCGCCCAAATTCATCCAACTAGAAACGTTTCTATACAAGCCACAATTTGAGGAAACGTACGGGCCACTACAGGAGCGCCCAAATTCATCCAACAAGAAACCGTTTCTATACAAGCCACAATTTGAGGAAACGTACGGGCCACTACAGGAGCGCCCAAATTCATCCAACTAGAAACGTTTCTAGTCTTTTTTTTTTTTCGGCGGCCAATAGCTGGGCCAAGTACTGGTGGTTTAATTGTGAAGCCATGTGTATTACATGGCTGATTGCTTTGGGTCTCTGAAGGATTGACTGGCAATACTCTGAGTAGCTGGAGGCCACTAGTACCCCGCTACCTCTCTAGGCCGCCGAAATCAGGCCTGAGGCCGCCGGAGTGAAAAGGACACAACTACCAGCAGTCCTGCCCCCTGTGTAGGGTTCGAGTGACTCCATGTGCTTGCGTTTCCTATCCCATACCATCATCGGAGACCCACTAATGTGCGCTCCAAGGGGGGAAGCATGCTTGGGAAGTCTATTGAGGGGGCGCACGAGCAATGCGAGGTCGCATTAGGTGGTAGAGTGAGCCGGTGCTGAAGGGGTTGCACTTTCCATTCACACAATGTCATCCACAAACATGATGGATGGAAATCAGTCAGTTGACGGAAGACTCAGATCATGGTGAAAAGGAGACCGTGTGTGATGGGTAGCAGTGGTTCATGTTTATTGAGAAGCAAGCGATCTGAACTTTGTATGTGCATTTTTTCACTCTCACACAACTCCTGCTGGCAAATCACACATCACCAAGAAACGCTCGGCAGAACGATGAGATTCCAAGAAGGTAGCCTTAGGAAGGTAGGTAGGTAGGTAGCTAGGTAGGTGTTTATGGTCTAAGCTGGTAAACGAAGTTCTGGGAGGATGGGAAATGTGAATACTTGCAAATTTTGCAATTTGCCATGACAATACATTCAATGTCATTCATTTACAAGTATGAATAAACAAGTAGATATGTACAAGAATTCTTAGAATTGTTTACATTTTTTTTTATTTTATTTTTTTGCACTTGGAGGCGTGCATTCCATCCGGCATGGTTCTGTTTGACTCGGTATTTTACTATTCACTGGTCAGAATGCTCTCCCAAAAAAAAAAAAAAAAAAAAGAAAGCGCATAGTGACGTGAACGTGGCACTTCCGTGTTTTTTTGGTTTTTTTGTTTTTTTTTTGCAAAGTTGAAAATTGAAAATTCATTAGTAACCAATATCGGTATTTAAACCGTATTTTACTATTCACTGTTCAGAATGCTCACACACACACACACACACACACACACACACACACACACACACACA